CTTCTTGGTGCAATAGGTCACGTGACCGGCTACCTCAATAACCGGTCACATGACCCGGTTCGGTTACTCTACTTACCCGGCTTACATAATCATTCTATAACATTCCCGGACATTCTTTATGACTTCATCATGATATCATAAACGCGTCATCCACGCGTCACACATAACATCACACCTACGTCATTCCTTTACCATTAGTAGTAGTACCTCGCACTGCTTGGTCTGTGCGCATACAGTCCTTACCATATTAGTTAGTCTGTTTGGTTCAACCAAACACCATGTACTTGTATATAACCTGAGCAATCCATCGCCCCAAGACTCTAAGTGAGTTCTTGTGGGAATTCCTCCTACAGTTCTATACCTAGTCTTGCCACGTCGGCGAGCAGTCCATCCCGCCTCCGCCTTTACCCTCTCGGCGTCGTCCTGTACAGGGCTTCGTCGTCTACTTCTTTGTGTAGGTCTTGCGTGTGTTGGTTTCTGGGGCTCGCGCCTTAGGAGTCGCTCACACTTAGCCGACGCTCGCATTCCTTTGTCCAAGGAGAACAAGTCCTCGAAGGTGGATGGCATTACCGTGAACATGCATCAAGCCAAGGAGGTTCACATTCAGTGGATGAACGTACTGAACATGATGTACTCCGGCCGATGCATATTTGGCAACTGGCCCCTTCTCAACGTCCTTCCTGGCGACTTCTCACCCAACCTCCTTACGTACGCCGAGATGAGAGCGGTCGTTTGCCCCTGGATGCTATACATCATGCGCGACGCATATGATGTTCCCAGCTACACTGGCAACGAGCCAGAGATCATCAAAATGGACGATATGACTGTCGAACAAGCGGAGAAGATCATGGTGAAGATCACCCCCATGAGCGAAGGTGTGTTAATACTTGTCTTGCAGATTGTTTCGGTATCTGCTTCTAACGGTTCTCTCAGAGGATATTTAAGCCATCAACGCCCACGACGAGACGGCATTCACGGTTTCTCTTGTCCAGGATGTCGACGAAAACACTCTGCGCTTCGTGACAACCAGCTCTAAGTTCATAAGAGAGGTGCAGGCCAACTGTGACGACGAAGTTATGATCCAGTTTGCAGGAGACTATTGGATGTCAGAGAAGGACAAGATGGCGGAATGTCGAGTGAAGCTTGAGGAGAGGGAGAAGGCTCGCCTGAAAGCCAGTCGCGAGAAGCGGGCGGCTAATAAGGGCAAGGAGACTGCAAGAGGCGTCAGGAAAACCCTCAAGAAATTGGATGCACTTGGCATCAATTCCTCTGCGTCGAGCTCTAACTCCTCTCCCCCCGAGCACGCGGTCAGCAAGGCCGCTGCACAATCCGACGCGCACAAACATGCAACGCCTGCCCCTCCTTCACGCCAGGAGGCCCCAATCGTTGTTGACGACTCACCTCCTTCTCCGCCTCCTCCCTCTCAGCCCGGCGTCCCTCCGGACCAGTCTCGTCGGGAGGTTATCGAGTTAGATTCATCGGACGGCCAACTGCGGCCTTCGAAGCGACACGATTCTAACGGTAGCTCCCCATCCGAAGAACGGGATCAGCAAGGAAGAGGTCGTTCCCGCTCCCTCTCAGCCCCTGAATCTCACCCTCGCCAGCATTCTGGGAAGACTGATCCCCGTCCCCGTAAGCTTGTACCATCCCACGATGAGCGCGGCCACCGCTCTCGTTCGAGGGATCGGCGTCACACCCGGTCTCGAGAGCATCGACGATCACGTTCAACGGATCGTTATCGTTCCCGATCTCGGAATCATCGCCGTTCTCCATCAAGGTCTTCCTCACCTGGTTACGCAGGTCATTCTTACCAGTATGCATCCACCTATTGAATTCTCAACTTTAACTCTGGCTGATCAGTTCTAAGGCACAATCATGGTTCTTCGCGTGCGTCGCGCAATGCACCCTATCACAATGCGCCATCAAACCATCGTTCTACTGCTCGCATGCCTTCTCCTACACGCTCGCACTACTCTGCTCGTTCTTCTCGCCATCACCGTCATGATCCTTCGCCAGCGCCATCAAGAGGGTATTCTCCTACTCGGGGCCCTTCTCCCGCACGGTCCCACTACTCCTCTCGTTCTTCTCGCCAGCATGATGTCCCTCTCCAATCCCCACACGATGTACGTTTGACTGGTGTTCATTATCGCTCCAATCATGAAGACTCCCTGCGTTCTCGGTATGTCGGTATCCATCAGCCTACATTGCCTTTACTGATGTTCGTCTGACTAGGTATCGTTCTCCGCAACGTATCCGGTAAGTTGAAACCATTTTAATGATGTGATCCCAATCTGATGTTCACAATCTCAAAGGCGTCGTTCTCATTCGCGGTATGTCCACGTGCTGCTTCTTTTCTCTCCTGATCATGCTGATTTAAATGGCACAGAGCTTCCGGTGATTCTTCGCGTCCTCATAAGAAGGCTCGCCATCCTGATGAATAGTCGTATCCGTACTTTAACCTTATTACGAGCGAACAATGCATGACCCTTTGAATGTTCTGTCCACACCGGCTGTCCCCTTATCCCGTCTTTCCGCATATTCTGTGATCAACTGGAATGTGATCAATGGGGTCAACCTTAATTCCGAGTTTTGAGTACAAGGTGTCTGACGTATTGCCATGGATCTTCCGCGTTCTCATGCAAATCAAATGTAAGCAACGACTCTTGTTCCTAATCGTTCTTAATACCATGGTGAAGTTTAAGTCATAACAGACACTAGACGGATGCCCTCTTATACCGGGTATATCGCATCTGATTGCATGGTAGTCCACGTAGTTTATACATCAGGTCACCGTACTAAGCTAGCGAAAAGCTATCAAGGTGGCCTAACTCCTGATGGGAAGGTGGACATGTATCTCGCGGAATGTAGTATTCCAGATTGTGAGGCAAACTACTGACCAGTCGTCCGGCGACTACTTCTGGCACACGACAGGTACGCCCATATGTCTGGGCCATAGTCTATCACTCAGGTGGATGTTGCACTGAAGCCTCACGGTTATCTACTTTCATGACCGGGACCGCCCAGACATCTGTGTGCCAGTTCGGGACGTCTGACGGCACTTTGTCTTGCTGCGCCAGATGTCTGCCTCGCAAGCGCAGACATCTGAGTTTAACGGGCAGACATCTGGCGGCACTCTGCTTGATTACGCCAGATGTATGAAGTACACGGTCGGACATCTGGCTCCACTCTGATACCCTGCGCCAGACGTCTGGTTCCACTCTGATACCCTGCGCCAGACGTCTGGCTCCACTCTGATACCCTGCGCCAGACGTCTGGCTCCACTCTGATACCTTGCGCCAGACGTCTGGTTCCGCTCTGATACCCAACGCCAGACGTCTGAACCACTTGGTCAGACATCTAGGGACACTTTCCAGTGGGCCAGGCTTCTGAGCCACTAGGGTCCGGACATCTGGAGAATCTTATCCCCGCACCCCAGATGTCTGACTCAACGCTCCGGACGCCGGGGGTCTTTGTCTCGCGGCCCAGACTCCCTACTGAATGCGCCAGACGTCTGGCTCCACTCTGATACCCTGCGCCAGACGTCTGGCTCCACT